CTGTAAATTTCTGGGGGTGGAGACGAAGGAGACATGGACGCCGGCTTTGGCTAGGGCCATGGAGAGCTGGAAATGGGGCATAATATGGCCGAAGGCGGACCATGGAAACAGAAGAACGTGGAGATCGCGTTCCGCCATTTTTGTGAGCTTGGAGATGAATAATCGCTTGGGTATTTATATATTGTTGGAAATGAGCACAGAGCGGCCATGAAAGTGCTTCCATGGAGGTCGCGTGATAATATCACAATTTTTGTGCCTCAGATTCTTGGGTCGCAATTTAGGTAACTTGACTCTGGTTGACTTTGAATTGCAAAGCAGATATTTCTAGATGGGGCATATGACGGTAAATAGCGTCACAAAATTAGCTTAAAAGTAATGTAAACGGCGACAAAGTTGCCCAACGAAAGTTTAACCAAGTTCGTCTCGATATCATGAAAATATCGATAAAGTGTCAAGATACTTCTATAAAAGTTAGAAAAATAAAACAAAAAATTGTAAAAAATCTTTTAAGTTAATAAATAAACATTTTCATATTTCTAAATCAGTTAAAAATAATTAATATTAATATTATGTATATATTAGTGATATTTCGTTGATATTTTTTATATTTTATCAATTTTCTTGTACTATGATAGAAATGTCAATATACCCTTCATATTACGGATATGTTAACGTTAATATTGATAATTTAAGACTTAAATTAGGATAAAACTTATCTGCCCACTAGAATAAGATATGGGGAGTGGAAAACTTAACAGAAATTCATTCCATAGAAAATTTTTCCAACCAATATTTTAGGATTTTAGATTTATATATATATATATATATATATTTTGTATGCTTCTTTAAAAGAAAAAGACACCATGAAATGATGGACCTAAAAATATCATAGAATTTATTTATTTGCCTCTCTCCACAAGGTATATATGCCTAACTACCAAGTTATTTCTAATTTGGAAGGTCGATTATTTCGTTCAGGGAGGATGTCATACTATTTATATCCTTCTTATTGGTCTTCATGGTGGAAAGGAAAACAACTTCGTTCCAAAACTTTCAAGGTGTCTATAATAAAAATGGAAAAAAGGAAAAAAAAACCAATTTAACCCTTAAATTTTATAAAATAATTCATTTTGGCATTGCCATAACTTTTTCTTTAGTAGCTTATTGGATAACTTTCTAGATTTAAATACTCTTTTGTGTACTTTTGATTTTGGTTCTGGTAGTTTAAGAAACGTCTTATTTTAGTGAATTCATTCACAAAATTTTTTAAAATGTTGTCATAAATTTGTATTAAAACACTTCTATTGTGTTTAAATTTTATAAACAAAGACCAAAGTGAACATTCTCGTTTGATGACGTTCCCGCTTCTTATTTTGTGAATCAGACATAGTTTGGTAACCCTTTCAGTTTCTCTTTTCTAAATTTTGAGAAACATTTAAAAAATGAAAAAAGAAAGGAACTAAATTTCAGAAACTGCCTTTCCATTTTTTTATTTCCATTTTTATTGACCCATATGAGCAAAAAGTTATATAATTTTATTATTATTACTGATTCATCACTGTGTTTTCGGGATTACAAAACATGTATCTTTTAAGCCACCTGTCCAGAAGTTCATTGCCAAAGATCACATAAAAGCTATTAGACAATCTTGGCCAAACCTGCTGCCGTTTTCACAACAATTTTTTTGTTTTTTTTCTCTCCCTTTTCTTTTCTGGAAATAAGAAAAATATTCACAATAATGTCAAAACATGAAGAAATCCATTGCATCAAATAGTTAAATCTCAGACGAAAATGCTTGTTAAGCTTTACGAAAATGTCCATGCCTGTGCCAGCGCCCGCGCCCAGCAGTAATCTCCAACATTCCATTCTCTGTCAACTACCAAAAATACAAACACACAAGAATTCTACATGGAAATTTTGTAAGGTGGTGTTCAGAACTTTACATTGATGGATGAGTTGCTCTATCAAAATGGACATGATTGAACTCCTGGCTCTCCTGTCGCATTGAGAAATGTCGCCCATTTACGTGACATTTCTCCTTTCAATTGTGCATCGAATCATCATTGGTTCGTCCAATCAGACATGGTGCTACCCAAGGTTGCACCATGTTCTTTAATGATCTGTACTGACTGAAGGAGGATATCTTGCTCCGTGGAGAATAACTCATCTTTACTCTACATAAATAAAATTGAAGTACGTAAATATATAGTTTGAACTTGAAGGGGCGACACGTCGAGGAGCTACCAGCGCAAGCCAAAATATTGGACTTACCATCTTTCTAAGGTTGCAACCAATTGTCAATTCTGCATATGTACTCTCAATTTGAGAGAGAAAGCAATAAGGAGCCTCCTTTCCCAAGAACACTTTTGGGTGAGATCTAAGCATACTCTTAATGTTATCTGATATCTGAGAAACAGTACTGAGATTATCAACTTGCAAAGGAATTTTCTTGGTGATGGCACGCCACTGCGCCCTCGATTTATTTACAATTACCTACAAAATATCACCATCTTGTGTTAACTGAAACTTTAGAGTAACGACCGTAAATAAATAGATTAAATCACTATCTTAATCCAAGAACTCCATCGAATTCCTTAACACATAATCAATCAAGAGATTCATGAGAAAATATTTAGAAACAACAAAACGTACGCCATGAAAACATATCCTCGAACAAATTCAAGGATCAAACATAGAAGATAAAATATAGCATTACAAGAAAGTTTTCCCACTCGTGACTATTGAGCATCCCCAAATCCAAACAGATGATTCCTAGATTTTTTGCCTCGTGGGAGTTGGAAATGATATGTTTTTACACAAAGAAATAGAGATATCTAAAATGGATAATTTACTCTAAAAATTCCAAAATAAATATTAATAAAAAATTTGTTAAGACATGCACAGAGACTTCCAGAAAAATTAATTTGAACATAACAATCGCATGTTCTACATGAGCAGAGGCCTCTACAGGATCACAGTTTTACCAAAACTTGTACCCTAATTCCAAATAGAAAGCCAGTATCCCTTCAGATCTCCCAGATAACAAATAAACTTGATCAAATTATTGGCTACACATGCATCGTTCAGCAATGGAAACTACTAGTCAAATACGTCTTGACTTTTATTAGAAATTTTAAATAATGGAAGCATTGAGTTCAGTGAGGTGGGTGACCATGTAAAGGTGCAGTGATTACTGTTTATAAAGGAATAAAAATAAAGGCTAAAAAGATAACCGTGATATAATAAAATAATAATATTAACCCAAGAACACAAAAAAAAATCCACCTGGCTAGAAAATAGAGAATTTGGAACAACGATTGGAAATTTTTCAGCGCTTAGTAATGATGTTGTCATTAGTCCCATTTCCACAACTTGACCTTCAATAGCACCAGCCTGCAAATGGAAAGTTGCAACTCGTTTCAAAGTTAACGAGAAAGGACAAATAGAACAAACTTGCAGAAACAGTCTACAAGTTTCCACCAATTTGTTTGATGTTATCAACTCCCAGTAAATGCAGAGAGAAAATGCTTCTAAATGACTGATAAGTACACATGACAGAACTCCACCATAGTGGACTTAACAGTATTACAAAGTATCACAAAAAGATCAACTGGATACAAAGATGCATGTCATCTAAAAGTCCAAGCATCATTGATATTGAGTTTTCAACTTCAATGATGCTTTTATCAAAATAGTAATAATAATAGTAAACGAAAAAAATTGAAGTCAACCTCAGATTCAAATCTTCCAACTTTTGTGGATCATACATGCAAAAGGATTACAAGATACATCTTCGTTCCACGCCAAAAGATGAAGGAAAAAGATGATTCACATCACACACACCTTAATTGTATCTCCGAGAGAGAAGGGTTGTGAAAACTGCATCGTTAAGCCGCTTAAAACATTCCCAAGTATGTCCCTCGCAGCAAAAGCAGCGGCCACTCCTGCAAAGAGGAAGTAAGAGATTTAGAGTACAATACACATGTTCCATATTATAAACAATAAACAAGCCTGATTATCCTCCAAAAAATGGCTGAAGAAGAGCATTTCCAAGAACATAATTGTTATCTCAGAGCTTGTCTCCATTCACCAACAATACGTAAGTATTGTATTAGCTATCTCTTCATTTTTATATCGATAAATGTCAAGGCCAGTTACGGACTCCTCAACTAATTTCATGAGACAATTTCCAGACTCTACACAACATTTACTTGCCACATAAACTTGACCATTGGGCAATCTAGGATGGTTACGGGTAGTATTAATTATCAATAGAGGCGTTTCTTCTTTTTCCTTCATTTTTTAAGCAGTTAGTTAGAAAACAGAAGCAGATGAATCATGTTGAACGTTGAGCCCTAGCAACAGACAAATTAAGTGGAGGACACGTGACCCCAAACCAAGAATCAGTACAATGGAAATAAAACTACAAAGCCATTTGGCAGGAAGCTCTCACCTCCAATGCCACCAACGGTCAACATAGACTGAACAGCCACCCCAGATGCCTCGGCCAAAGCCATTAATCCGATTGCAAATAGGCCAACAGATGAAACTTTGTCTAGGGTAAGCAACTTTTCCCGATCAAGCCCTGAAAAACTCTGGGAGGCCAATGCTCGAGACAGCACATTTGTTTTCCAGCGATAAATAAACCAGACAAGGGAAAGAATGACAGCCCCCCTACACGCCTGTGTAACATATTCTGATGCAACAGTGGTAGGTGCAACCATCATGCCACTGAAAATCAAAGCTTAGACAAATATTGCAAGGTAAGATAAAGGTACACAACCTGAAAATCCATGTGTAAATAAGAGAATTATGTTGAAGTTTGAGCCACTAACATTTGAGAAAATGCAAAGAAGGTAACAAGATATCGCAAAGGATCCTCCAAGGCACCCCAAAAGCTTTTCTCATAAGGAATTTCCTCAACAGATATGCTTCCAGATAGTAAGGCAACGGGACCTCGCATTGAATACTTATGGAATCTCCTCAAAAGCCTAGGCATTACCAGCCAAGCCAAGAGAGTAGCAGTTAAGGTCATACTCACAGGAACAATTACATTTTTAAGGTATGGATGTGAATCAAAGAGTTTATCTACGTGAGGAGTGAATTCATCAGACACTTCTTTAGCCTTCTGCTCGGTGAAAGATGCTGCATCTACAGCACTCTGCCAGACATCCTTAACTCTTTCAAGCCATTCCTTTCCAGTTCCAACATCTTGGGTGTTACTGATATCTGCTTCAACACCAGCAGAAGCTGCTGAAACACCAGTGTCTCCAGTTATATCAGCTTTCCTGCTAGAAGCCGATGAATACAATCGAGGATTTGACAGATGGCCGGGTGAAGTAAGAGGGACAGTTCTCCAGTATCTCACCGACCATGCAGGCAAAAATGTATCAATGGGATATGCACCGTGACTGGAGATATTTAAACCACATACAGAAGCTGCCCTTGGGAAACCAGTACCCGAAGTGTTTTTCGTGCGGCGAGAGTTATCATTGTGGCATTTTTTATTTAGAACAGTACTCGGTCTAAGACCCCGGTCAACGTACTCGGAAATTTTGGTGTAAGGCTTGTAAGATTGAGATGAGTACGGGTTCAAATAAGAGCGTGAGGAAGTATAAATCGACTTCAGAATGAAAATCCTGATGCCAGCCATTGGAGCAATTCGGCAGAGTCCAATAAACTCTGTAGAACCAGACTGAACTCAATTATCAATTGAGTTCCAAATCTGCAAGACAAGATATTCAGGTGACAATAATCCAACAACGGAGTGATTCAATATCACAATTGACAGCGAAGACGCATTATAGAAACACACGCAGCATAAACTTTGACTACGATTACATCCACAAACTCAAAACCGTAATCAGGAAGCAAATAAATCGAAGCAAATTTAGCATAAACATACTAACAAAAGAATCAAATCAAATCTCGTGTCCTTTCCTTTCCTTGGCTACTCTGCGAGAAAACAAACGATCAAACACAGACGACTGCTGAATCCATACGAATTCTCCTCCAACTTAACCTGGTAACTAGAACATAAATGGTTCCAGAAACTTCAAATTCACTGATCTGTGGTGGAGGAATCTGAATGAAGTGACATTGAAGTTCCTGAAAGTGAAAGCCCTTCAGGCGAGTTCCTTCCTTGCGATGAACGAAATGGAAATGGCTCAGAAGAAAATTGAAGCAACATCCTTTGCAAAAAAAAGAAAAGTTGAAGCAAAATCGTGTGAATTGTGAGCATGGCCGTAGGAGATCCAGATTATTTGAGGCCGTCGGATGCATCCATTGCCATGATACGATCCATCCAGCGGTGCACGAGCCCCAACTCCAAATGATTCGATAAAAAGAATTTCTATATAAATACCGTAACGGGTCGGTGGGTATCTGATTTGGGTTGGGCTGGACCACAAAAATTAGGGCTCGGCCCAATGGCCTCATCTGTAGAGCATCACTAACCAAAATTAATATTTTTTTTCTTCTAATTAAGAAATAAAATTTGTTGAATTGCCGATTCAGTTTCTCCTTTAATTTCAATTCGATTTCTATTTTTTTTTAATTTGACTCATATAATATGGTTTAGATCTCTAAAAATGTCTCATATTACCATGTTTGGACCATTTTCGTACTTGGTATATTTTCTTTGCATATGGTAAGGAAATGGTATCTTCTTTAAAAATTATGAAATTTTCTATTTAAATATCGTTACTTTTTAATCTAAATGAGGCATGAAACTTTAATGGTTTGTATATTTAATCCAAACTTCTAATTTTAATAATTTTGAATTGTGATTGTAATTTTAAGTTGAACAATATTTAGGTGCTGACTAGTGAGCATCTATCTATCTTGACCATCATTAAAAATTTGACAATTCGTTGTTTTTAAAAGTAATAATTTTTTTTTTTTTTGCATTTATCCTTTTTATTGGTCAAAAATTTAATACTAATTCATACAAGATAGATATTTACCAATTAGTACGGAGTATTTTCTCTTTTTTTCTTTTTTAAGTAGAGTATTTTAAAGCTAGGAGGAAAATTTGTGATTTATGTGAAAAGGATTTTATATATATTTCTAATTTAATTTATGTAACAATTCACTTCTTTTTGTTAATATTACGTCAAATCAATTAATGTTTGTCCAATAGACATGTCATACTATCACATAGTTAACGACAATTATAACACGAAATCATAGTTGAAAGAAATATTGAAACAAATTTTGAGTTTAAAGACTAAATAAACAATACATCAGGTTTATATTTAATATTAAGTGAATATATTGAAAATAAATAAATACATACTTTTTTTTTTTACAAACGGTTATTCTAAAATAAACACAAAATTTTGCAAAACAAACTTTTAAAAAACACCGAAAGACAAACAGTTATTTCGTCGGTTACACCTAATCGCAAATCAACCGAATATGAAAGAAATTTGCTCTCTCATAATCATCCCAAAACAGAACCTTCTCTGAAACAAAAACTTTGTTCATCATCATCGCGATTGATGAAGAATATGATACCTGCTCTATTTGTTTTATACCGAAAATATTTTTACTTTATGATATAAAATTATTCGAATGTAACAAACCGCCACTGAATAATTCCGTCAAATTCTTCTATCATTTCCCCCATTCTTCGATTTGAATCAATTTCGGAGTACCAAGCAAAATTTCTTCAATAATTGAAGTTCTGGTCACTGATTCTGTCGGTTCTAATTTTCTATCACTTTTTCCAGGAAAAGAAACGCGGGAATTTTCAGTTTAAGCCATGAAGATCAGTGAGAAAACCGCAGAAGATCGTCCACAGCAGAAAAATCCTCTCGCCGCTTCCATTAAATCTCTTCCGATATTAATGTTTTACCTTCTCCTCTTAATCTCCTCCATCGTCTGTTTATTTTACTCTGCAAAATTTGTCTATTCTTCATCTTCTTGTAACAGCCGTATATCGTTCTCCAAGGAAATCGGCGACTCTGTTCTCGATCCGGAACCAGAAACGCCATCTCCGAAACCTAATCAGGAAACAAATCTCTCTCATGTAGTTTTCGGCATCGCCGCTTCCGCTAAGCTCTGGAATCACAGAAAAAATTACATAATGCTGTGGTGGCGGAGCAGCGAAATGCGAGGAATCATCTGGCTGGACGAGCCGATTGAAAGCGCCGATGACGATCATCTCCTGCCGTCGACGAGAATCTCCGCCGATACTTCTAAATTTGCTTACAGAAATCCGGAAGGGCACAGATCCGCCATAAGGACATCGCGGATTGTCTCTGAAAGTCTGAGGCTAGGGATTTTTGGTCGGGCGGAGGTACGGTGGCTTGTTATGGGCGACGATGACACCTTTTTCGCTGTCGATAACTTGGTCCAGGTGCTGCGGAAGTACGATCATAATCAATTTTACTACATCGGAGGCTCATCGGAGAGTCATTTGCAGAATATGCATTTCTCTTACGATATGGCTTACGGCGGAGGCGGATTCGCCATAAGTTATCCATTGGCGAAAGAACTCGAGAAAATGCAGGACAGTTGCTTGCAGCGGTATCCGAATCTGTATGGTTCCGATGATCGGATTCAGGCTTGTATGGCGGAGCTCGGCGTTCCTCTCACCAGAGAACCAGGATTTCACCAGGTGAGTTTTCTCGCTTCGATTTAACTCTTCGTTTAACCTGCACGAACTTCACTCTGATTTTCTATCTGTTTGGTTTCTGAGAAAGTGCGCGAGAAAATTCAAGGCCACAGGGTCATTTTTTAAAATATTATCTCTCTCTCGTTTAAAAAAGAAAAAAATTATTTATTTAGTTGATTTAAATGTTTTACAATTTTTTTTTTCTTTTTTTTTTTTTTTGGAGGGAAGAAAAAGAAGGTGAATTTTGGATAGCAAAAGCTACATGGTTGGCTTAATTTGTCTTCTTTTTTCAAGTTAGAACAAAACAAAACAATTATTTTTTTGTTAGACAAAATAGAAATTCTTAGAAGTAAATTATATTTCGACCCATTAAAGTATGGTGGTGTCTAAATAAAACCTTTATTTACTTACCGAAGAAATTGTTCCAACTCAATCTCGACCAATTTAAATAACTAATAGTATTTTCTAAAAAATTTAAATATCATAAAAATTTTAAACATGTTTAATAAACTTTGTTAAATAATTTTCTTATAAAATCTTGTATTGTGCAAAGTTCTTTTAACATTAAAAAATGAAAACAATAGATAAGATAATCTTACCTAGAGGAAATCAATTTTTTTTATATATTCTTATCACAAATACTTTTTCAAAGTTATCAAAATTTAAATCATCAGAACATAGCTTAATTTGTTAAGGTATATATCATCGATCAAGAGATTGAAAGTTTAAATTTTCACCCTCACATATTGTTGAACTAAAAAAATATCAAAATTTAAACGGACACATTAGTTTAGTATAAATAGGTTAAGATTATATTTATATAGATTAAAATTTTGGAAATAATACTTAAATATTAATTGGTAAATATATCTCCAATCAATCCATAAGTTGTGAAAATATATTAATTGGTATAAATATATCTTATACTTAAAGAGATCAGATTAATACGGAAGAAAGGAAATATTTATTTTTATTATCATTTTAGTATTAAATATAGGGTACAAGAATTTAAATTACAATCTTAAGTGAATGAGTAGATGTCGTTAACATTGAATTATGCTGAAACGTGAACATTTTTGCCTAATTCTTTTAGGCGACTAAAACTACGTTGTCGCCTAAAACTACGTTGTTGACCCATTGGCCATTTGAGTACTCAATAGTCCACCACTTTTAAGACTTGATGTCCATGGGTTCTCATCCATCAACTTTAGAATTTTTGCACCAACATTATATATGAAAATTTAACTCCAACTTAGCAAATTATATCAATTTTTACCATAAACTTTCAATTTCATTACATAAACCTTAAACGTGGATATGTGTTGTAATTTATACCCTATATTTAATTTATGCTAATTAATCCCCTAATTTTAACAAAAGAAAAATAATGTAAAACTTTCCAAATAATCATTGAAGATAAATATTTGGACAATATTGAATTCGGTAAATACAAAAACTTATAAATCTCATCATAAAAAAATACTTTTGTCAAAATATTGTTAAATATATAATTATTATTCATCTGACATATACTATTTATTATAATTATTTTGGAGTACCATATGATACCACTTGTTTCAATTCAACCATTTTTTAAAAGGGATTAGTACATTGATGGGCTATTTAAAGATCCTAATTACATAAAAGGATGGAATGTATAGAATTTACACATTTGTCATCTATCAACCCTATTTAAGAGGGTACACATCATATAAATTACTTAAATAGCCTCTTGTATTTACAAATTAATTTTAAATTCATTTTAATATGCAAAATTGATTAATTGGAAGGTTATAATTTAGATCCCATAATTTTAGGTTAATGATA